ACACAAACACACACACACACACGCTAACACCATTCTCATAAACTTTGAATGTAAGCACTATAAATATTAAACAATAGCGATGATGGTGGCGCGTATTTGTGAGAAAAAAAAGAATCGTCTAGTATTTCGTGTTGTTATACAACATCATCGGAATTTGTTCAGCATGGGAAAACGTAAAACTTGAACATTTTCGTCTATGAAAATCCCGGCAACCAAAAACAACTATATTCCCGTTTGCCATTCTTCTCGAGAATTCACGTTGTTTTATTTTAAGCAGATTTTCTCGAAGCACCAGATACCATGTAACTTAATTAAAAAGTTTTCATCTTTTTCGTGTTGTTTTTCGTTTTTGGTCCAGATTGCATGGAATAAGAGAGAGCCGGCTTTGAGATTCCCAGATCTTGTGACACAATGGCCATTGCATTTCGTTCGATTTTAGTTTGTTGTTGTTGAAGTTGCATTCGCAGTTAGTTTGAGAGATGCATAGCGGCGATTGTTTTATGGTGTTTTTTCCCTTTTCGAACAACAATTGAAAAGTGTGAAAAGTACGAGTGAAAACGAAAAAGAAAAAGAGAACTAACATCCACGCTACTTGTAAACCGAAGCAAAATAAAAATGTGAATTGCGAGAAATTGCGTTATCTATTATGAGATGACCAAGAAAATTTCTTATTTCGTTCATTTTAGTGGGGATATCCTTGCGCTGCTCAATGATTCCTTTATGTGATTTGAACCGAAAACATTTTTCGTTCTGTTTTTAACACAAAAAACTTTTTCTTAAATATCATTAATGTCAATGCAATGGTTTTCTTCATTCTGCTCATCACTTTTCCTTTCGCACCACAAACGAATGGAAATGTTTTACAAACAACAACTAATAATTGGGTTATTGTATTTTTGTGTGTGTATGTATTATGTGTAATGTGTATTGTATGTGCTGTACGTGTGTTTATGTGTTGAGCATATTTTTCGTATTATATTCATTGAATTGGAGTGGTGATGGTGAGTACGCTGTACAGTGTACACTGACTCGAAATTAGCTCGAAATTAAATTAAAACGACATATTAAAACTGCAACAGCAGCGACTAATGAACGATGGTCTAAAGCGGATGGGTGTCTCTAGCAGCTGGAAACTCGTTCGGAAAATTCACTAATTATTAATTAGAGAGTGATTTAATTTTTGATTATGCGTAAAACCATGACACAAACATGGCATGACACAAAGTTACCGAACCACAGCAGCATGAATCTGATGCATGTGGATGTTGTGACAGAAACGAAATGAATCAGACACACAGAGAGAAAGTGGAAAAGAGATTGAGAATGAAACAAAAAAAAAACAGTGGGTGTATGAGTGTGTGTAGTGTGTTGCAGCGCATATGGCATTTGTGTGTTTACTGATGACTTGATATGCATCAGCTTGTCATGTATGTGTTCATTTCAATTTCTTATTCACTTTTTTTTTATCGCCAAAGCCATCAAAGAATATGGTTAACTTTTGTTCACTAACAAGATTAAAGTTTTTAGCTCTCTTATTGTTATAGCGTTGACACTTGTCGTCTTTTACGACACGAGAGCATATTTCACACAATTTCCAACTAACTTTTTGTGATCGTTGCTCTGTAAAGTTATCATATATTTTTTCTTCTTCTCCTGTCGTTGTTGTTCAAATGCCAAAAAAAGGCGACGAAAAGCGAACAATTCAAAAGAAATATAACGCGATCCAAAATCAATGTTCAAAAGTCACTGACGTTCTGTCATTACAGCATTGTCAATATAGTGTTGCCTCTCTCTCTCCTTCTCCCTTTCTAGTGTTAGAAATCTGGAAGGTTCATTTGGCATTCAGGTCAGGTGAAATCAGACAAAAAATTGATTGATTTTTTATGTGGGGGCAGAAGACAAGAACCCATTACGCTGGTATGTTCCAGCAAATTGTCGAAATAAAGAGGGAATATCATGAAATCAATCAATCACGCATCAGATTCATCCAAAAATAAAGTCTACGCATTTTATTTTGATACAACTAAATTGATTCAGTCATCAAATGATAACACTCGCACGCACACGTACAAGCGAAAATGATACACTCAATTTCTAATTGAATCTCATCTTCTTTGTCAACACACTGTAGAATATTGTGTTTTCCTGGGGGAGAATTCATCTCATGAGAGTTCGTTCTATCATGATGTCATGTCCAGAGTCTCTGAAGTAATCAAAATTACTCTATAATCATTTTTAAAAGTGCTATTCACACAAATGAATGAAACGTTCAAAGAGTTTATTAATTTATGGTTTTATAATTTCTTTTTGCGTTTTCCACATCCAAGAGGAATTGAAGGAGAAAATCCATTTAAAAAACAGCAACAACATAACTGAACAATAATGATAATATCAGTACAAATAGACATTCCCATCGTTGAATTAAACAGACCACAGGTGTTTGCAGGCACAGTATTTTGAAACATCAATTAATGATGAAACAATATTTCATTAAAGGTGCACGACATTCTAAAATTTAAATGGGCATAATCATTAGCATATTTATTTCTAGCAACAATGAGAATTTAACATTTGCCAAACAGATATTTTGATAATCAACTACACCAAAAACATTCATTATGAAATAGAATGCCAGCCGAAAAATTCGAATAGGATAATTAAAAAGTTTTAATCATTTTCTTCCTTTTCTTTGGACAAGTTCATTTGAATAAATTAAATGAGTTTACGCACACGATTTATAAAAGGCGAAAGCGAAATGGATTTACTTCGACAAAAGCGAAACAACATTCTATTTAATTTCAATTTGTTCCTACTTTCGGCCACAAACAGCCAATTCAACGAATCGAAATTAGGTTTCCTTAAATTAATTCGAATACAAATTTTTAACAAACAACACAACAGCCACATCTTTTTATACAGATATTTATTTTCATTGAGTTTTTGTCGGTTGCACTTTACGCAACGTATTGATGATTTTGTGCTCTCTCCTTTTTCTCCGAATTTTCATGCGAAACGATTGAAGAAAATCCGGCAGAACAAAAGCATGGCGTGAAAGTGGACAAAGTTTCGATAATAAAATTAGAATGATGGCGAAATACTTCGATGAATATTGAAATGTACGTGCATATTGGCTCATTGGCTGGCATGAACTTGGTTTTAATTGCATGATGTTGTTGGTAAAAGCGCATCAATCCATTCTTTTTATCAAATCAAACTGAAGACAAAACCTTACAAATGCTCTGTTCCATTGGATATATTGTTTGCGCAGTATAACGAATGCACACACATTCCAGTGACCTTCTTTGAAAGAACACACAGGGTGCTCGCAAAGCGCATGGAAATTTAATTTCCCCTTTCACGTATTCTTCTACCGTTTTCATTTTTTGCACTTTGGATTTGGTGAGACGCAATTTTTCGAATTCAGTGTTTCGCAATATTTATGTTTTCAATGAAGTCAATAGGTAAACTACACTGACTCTTATATATCCATGAAATGCTTGGATTGATTTCAATGAAAACTTTCACTTTAAAAGTCAATCCTTCTGGGCATTTTGTCACTCATACTGTTGTTAATGCGTTCTCTGCCACTGTTGTTGTTGTTGTTCATTGAAAATGACCTACGGCAATGATACAAGCGATTGAGAATTTATTTTTAGTGCCGGTCATTAAGCTCATTGTGGATTCGACACTAGTACGCTCTACTCCGTACAAAAGTCCAATATCAATTCACTGGAAAAATATTTGAAAAAGAGCCGCTGAAAGACATCAATGCAAACACACCCAAAAACCATTTTTCAAAAGCAAAATTGTATGGAAAATGTGCTGCTGGATTTTCCACTTTTGGATCGTGTGCCGATTGCCGAAGCAATTGAGAATGTTTGAACGTTTGTGTTCGGTATGAAATCGGTACCGCATTATTCGCAATGTCGGCTTTTCTTCATTGGATTGATGTTGTGTTGTGCCACTGAATTCCAGTGCGTGCTCTCCACAATTTTTGTCACAACATCAGACCAATCGTGTATGCTTGCGATGCGCATCATCGTCAGTTGTGTGTTAACCATTGTGTCGGCAATACCAAAAAATTCGTAACAGAGAGCTTGTTATATTTATTCGTGTATCGCGTCAATTTTTAAGACGACGTGCCGCGATAACTGGAATTTGGTGTCATCTTCTATGTCTTTCTCATTAGAAAGACGTATTATCTATGATCGAAACAACGGAATTGTATTGACTGGCCTATGGCTATGATAATGAGTTAGCTAAACATTTGAAAAAAGAAAAAAAGGGAAAGAACATCACCAACGGCACATAAATTATGCTTAATTATCACTTTGATTTATCAATTGTCATTTGAACGACGCATTTTTATTCGAATTCTGTCTGAAAATTAAGAACACCGAACCGTTTTTATCAATGTCTCTCTGTCTAAATAGGAAGTGAAAGTATTTGATACAGCAAAATTGTTGGCTTGTTTATTTCATTGTGGAACTTGTGTTGTCAGTTATGCTGAATTTATTGGTGTAATTTCAATTCGAACCGATCTGCACTGAAATCTTCCAAACGAAATAAAATCGACAATAGTGTACTTATGTGTTACGAACAGAACAGAAGAAACCGGAAAATTAGCGAAAACATTTTCGTTTAACTTTTTAACTATATATTTCGTACAACTGATTGCTTGTCTACGAACGGTAAGCGGAACAATTGAACGCTCACTCAAGTGAACATACACAAGTCATCAATCTAATAATACAATGTATTTGATTTTTACGCCTCATTTGATTTTCAGTGAGTGATTTTTTCTAACGAGTTGTGAACCATGGGGCGGAAATGAATGAGACGAAATTTTCTCTCTCATGGGCGCAGCCATATTGAAAATTTTGTATGCGCTTATATGTAAAATTGGTGGCGCCACTGGTATATTTGATGGAAAAAGAAGAACATGTTTGAGTCTCACTCGTTTATATGTAAATTACATAGGCATTTCCAGGCCATGTTGTGAACTATAAGAACATTATAAAGTGAAATGCGGAGAAATAGAAAATCGGTGTGTATTTCGTCAGTGAAAGCGATGTAAAGCTAAGAAAGAGTTGAAACTTTTGATAAAAAAAAATCGAAAGGTAGTTTTCCGGACCACATTTCATTCGATGCAAAAAAAATTGATTAAATTCCAAGTGACAATTTTTCAATAAAAAAAAAAACGACAAACTAACGTCATTGATTCATATATTGCGTGAGTTGATTTTCGCAAAAGTATTCATGTGCAAGGAAGTGCCATTTCATTTTCATATTATAAAAAACGGTAAAAGAATCCGAAAAATCCGAACAAAAAATTCATACATGTCCTCCGTTGCTATACCAAGTGAATGTGCGAGCGGAAGTGACACATGAATCAATACATTTTCATACGCATTGGTATAGAGTTTTGTCGAAAACATTTCACCCCTTACAAAAAGACAGAAACACACTAGTCAAACACGATTGACAGATTGCTCATGCAAAAAATTGAATATACGCCAATACTAAACAAAAAATTTATTCCAAGAAATTTCTGTCTTAATACCAATATGCCAAGTGAAAGAAAAAACGATTGAGAGTGTCAACGAACAAAAATCACAATTGATATTGAGTATACATTTTTGAAACCGATTCAAACTTGATGCGTTCAGCATATAAGTGGTACAAATAGCGTGCTTCCCAGTTCGTAGACTAAACACAGAGAATCGCATTGTTTTTGGATGAAATAGTTCTGGTTGGATTATTGTCACTTTACATAAATCGATAGAGCCAAAACTGAATGTTGTGTGTTTGTTACTGAATGTGGTGTGTATGCTCTTCCCGACTTGTGCATACATTTTTCACTTAATGCCACTCTTCAATTTCAAGATAGAAGTGATTTGTGACTATATAAACTGAGCTTCTTTCTTTTGTACAGACGACGGGAAAAATTTTACGTGGTGGAAAAAGTTTTATGAAGGGAAAAAGAACAATATTTTCTGATTTTCATAAAAATTATCTTAAAAATTCAAATTATCTTTGTTAAAAAAATTCTTCACACTAAATAAATAAATACTCGAACGAAAATAAGTGAAACATAATAAACATTCGAATCATTTTGAAAATGAATAAAAATGACTTGCTTGATGTGACTGAACAATAATAAGAAGAACAAAGAATAAACAGTTCAAAACCAGACAAACGTTAATGATGTTTCATTTTTCGCTGGGGAAAATTTAAAAACGGAAAAGGACGCGTGAAATGTTTTCTTTTTAAATCCGCATAAGAAAAAACAAGGGAACAGAAGCAAAAAAGGGTAAGTTTATCCAATGAAATCCTGATTTTATTCTGAACTCATTTAGAATGCACTAAGGCACTGTCGGGCACTGTACTTTCATTTCGATACACATTTCTCTTTTGTATTTATTTGTTTCTATGTGCCCAAAAAAAGTCTGGTCTCTGTATGCCTATGCGACGAGCTGATTGAAAAAGGCACATAAAGTGGACTTCATAAGAAAAATGCTCGATATCACCATGATATATTGCATTCAATGTTGTTGTTTTTCCTCCCGTTATCCGGCTATATTATGTTTTTACTGCTAACAGTAACGTCCCATATTCGATGTTCAATGAATTTTTTTTCGGTTAAAATTCTAAACGAGTTCAGGAGATGAACACTCATATCCACTGTTTTTTTGGTATCAAAGCAAAAAAACTCAATCGGTCGAGAAAAAACTCATCGTAAAAAAACATTGAAATAAATCCCGTCATTTGACTCTCGAATGAGTGGAGATGAATGAAAAACGAGATAGAAAGCCGGAAAATCTCAAATATCAAAAGCCGATGTGCTGAATACACACAAAAGGTTTAATTAAATTCCAGTTTTTATAATATTTGATCCAAGCAGAAAATTCACATTGTCTTCGAATTGACCGTTTTTTCATGAAAAATTCAGTGTGATGCACTTACCGACGACACAAAATAATTAGAAGTCAACTGAAATAGACTGTGTATTGATTTCTGATATTTTATGCTCCATCATTTGGTGACCACGCCATCATTTACAACGGTTAAACGGTGCACCAAAAAATAGTATCTCATAATGATTATGTCTATCCACTTTGACACTGAGCTTTTCTATATTAGACTTCATAATCTTCCTGATAATTTAGGATCCTGCTTGCTTAAGTTGGATTGGTCGACGCTTTTCGAGCTGAACAAATGAATTTTTGCGCCAGCTCATCTTTATCGAATTAAAACCTATCATCAAGTGATGAATTATCAGTGGAATTGTGTTGTGTGCTACTATTAAGTCATAAGATACAAATCTATTACCCAAACCAACATGTTACACAAACCAATTTATTTTCATTAGTTTCTAATTCATCATTTCGAATTTAAGTTTACCAAATCCAAATAACAATCCTTTGAATCATTACTAATTTTCTATTCAACAGATTCATTGAAAGTACGTGCATATTTTACATACGTGCCGCATCAGACATATTTAAAAAGTTAGAAATCATTTTAACTCAATTAAAATCTCATAAACAATGATTATAATTTAATTTGTATTTGAATTTTATGCGTATAAAGTTTCAATTTAATTTTACCAAAATGCAAATGATGGCGATGGTAATCAAAAATAACTTTGATAAAAGTTGGCATATACACAGTTTGGGTTCTTAATTGAATTTCCAATAAAAATGAGTTTCACAATTGAAATTTGATTCAACAGTTTTTCATCCCGTATTTTTTCAACAGTCATCATTGCCATGTAAATAGAAACAATTGAATCTGCAAAAAAATATAAAATGCAAATCAAGTACGTTTTCAAATAGAAATAAATTATATAAAATAGAAATAAATTGTACATATGTTCAGTAAATAATTTCAAGTCAAAACCCAATCGCACCCAATTAATTAAAAAATTATTCTGAATTTTCATTCAATTTGAGCATATCGAATTTTATTTCGATTTGTTTATACACTCACTCTTTCGATTGATTCTCTCCACTATGTGATGACACAGTAATGCGTTAAAATACCCAGTAAATTAACGGTATCCAGTTATCTTTTGATATTAATGATCTCAATTTGTATCGACTCGATAGAGACGACTTAAGTGTCGTAAATAATTTAAATGAATGAGATTTACAAAAAGGTAAAGCAAATTTTCTTAGACGGTTTAAATTATTATGCTCTATTTAATGTTAACGTTATCGATAACACTCAATCCACACATTTTTGCTTCTAATTAAACTTAGCAAAATCCTGAATATGTTCATTAATATTGAGAGTTTACTTGGGATTTATTATAACAAAGTAAATGAATCAACCGCTCCAAATGGGCTGTGTACTCATTAAATGACGTAAAATTCTCGGATTTGTTCACTTTCAAAGTGTATAAGTTTAACAGGAGCAGAGAAGCTAAGTTGTGTCATCGTATAATATACACAATATTTATCGACGACTAAAATATTTTAAATAAAAGTTAGTCTCAAATAAGAGTCATTTATAGATTATAATGAACGCATAATTACTTAGCCTACCCATATAATTCATTTGCGGAGTAATTTTGACGGTGGCGGGACTGTGCGGAGTTTGGCGGAGATGACATACAAACTCTGTGTGTACGAGGGTAACAGCACTTCTATGTGTATCATTCTTATGCAGATGATTAGTAACTTAGCTGTGTGTACGGCTACTAAGATGTTCGATTGGACAAAATAAATCTATGAACAGCAAAGAATGCTGTTGCACTGGCACACACAGCATTTGCATGCTATCTCCGCCGAACTCCGCACATTCCCGTCATCGACAAAATTACTCCGCAAATGAGTTATATGGGTAATAGCAACATTTTAATTTCACAAGTTAATTATATCGGAACAGTTGAACCAAACATCTTATAGTTCATTGGATATATTGTTTGTTACCTACTGACCGATTAAAAGTTATTTCTAAACAAAACTTTTGGCAATATTCATTGAGCCAACCTTAAATAGCATGCAAGTCGGTTTGGCCGAATCCAGATTCACGTTAATCGAATGTGTACTCTTGAGGATATTTTCATAGTTTGTAATACTTTTGAAAGAGATAGTTTTCTTTCGTTGTTGCTCTCGCACATTGATTTATTTCTTAAAACTGTTGGGAAAAAGTTGTAAAGTTTCGATATCCTTTTTTCTATTTAGAGAGATAGATTGTGTTGGAAGGTGAGATTGTATGTATCATTTGGAATGTTGCTTGCCATAGAAAAAAGATCCACACTTTTTTTTTATAAAAAAAAAGTTTATTTGTGTAAAGACATGCATTATTTGGAAGAGGTTTTTCACACACTAAATCAGACAAAAAGCTTATCTTTGCTTTTTTCTATCGGAACTGTATACGTTTGGTTTAAATACGTACAAGAGGCTTTGTATGATACAACTTCGAATCAATCTATTATCTTCAGAAATACAATGAATCGTTAACCATTTTCTGCTGTTTTTTGTGGAGCTGTGTATTTTTTGTGCAAAAAAATAACACAGGGTACATGCCTTGCGATACAGCATGATAATAAATTCTAACACCGATTCGTATTCTGCCGCAACTGTTTTACTAAACTAATCGCAGTGTTTATAGGCAATTTTGGGCGATCAAATCGCCTGATAGATTGTGGTGTGGGTATAAATAAATCTTCACACATACAACGAAACCAGATTGCTTTTGTCTTCACATCTGGGTACTTGAACGGAAGATATTTGGAGCGTAGATACGATAGGCAACGAAACTTAAAACACTTAAAATTTATGTTATTAACGCCAGACTATTTACTGCTAGATTATTTATTTTTCAAACATAAACTTCTGGGCTTCAAAGTTTTTCCAAGTAAAGGCGAAGAAATATGGAAATATAAATGATGAGCTATAACTTCATTACCAAATGACGCACAATCGACGCAGAAAAAAAGCCATCATCTCTATGGAGATATGAATTCCAAGTTTATTCCATAAACATTTTTTGTGATTTTATTCGATGTGCTTCAAGTTACAAAAGGATATGAATCGTTGCCGATAGCAATTCGATATGAATAGAAATCATCGCTAATATAGATTTCAACATTATACGCATTTTCATCTCTTTTTCTTGCCCTTTCATCATTATTGGGTCGCATTTGACAGAAAAATTCTAATTAAAACAACTCTCAAATTTAGATTAAAAACTGAAAGCAATCAAATGAGATTTTTGTCGTTTTATGTAAATAATTTTTACCTTAGAAAATGAAAAGCTTAATTAATGCCAATAGCTAATTTATTTCGAAAAAAACCTTTTTCTGATACTTCCAGTCATGATTTTGCACCTTTATAGAATCATATATTTTAGATTGCAATCGAATACCTAGAACAGATCAAATCTTTGATAATTTAAATTAAAAGACTACCTCTGTTGGATTTCATTACCATTCCCTTTCAATTACGTTGGTAATTGTTATCATTTTTTTTCAACGATTTTTACGATTCTTTTTCGTTTTGTACTTGAGAATTGTCATTGTTTTAAATGCTCGTGATTGCATGCTTGAATGAAAGAATGAATTAATTATTAAATGTTCATTAGGTGAACCATTTACGGTGAGCAAGCAAAATAAATTTTTCAGATTGGAGAAATAGCGTAAAAAATGCCACGCCATGCAAAATCGAGGATAGAATAAAACGGGAACGTGCAATTTGTGCGATGGATAAGGCTTCAAGTGTCGTTTACATTAGCCGGAAAAGAGTTTTTGAATTAATGCGATTTTTATTATTGATGAGAGAATGAGAGTGAAAGAGATGAAGGTGTTATTTCATTCAGCGATTGAACCATATAAATCATGAGCTGGATTCAATGCTGAAAAAGAAATGAAAAAAGCAGCAAATATTTATTGACTATGAAATTGAGAGCAAGCACGATAGCTCCAAGTGGAAAAAGAGTGGTTGCAATTAGCGACAAAAGTGGAGAAAAACGTCCGAAATGCCATGTTCTTGATAGCCCTAATACATATTCATATAGCCTCAAAATGTTTCTCATATGAGTTCACTTGGCCTCTACTTTATTTTACATATATTTTCAGTAGTTTTATGGCAGTTTTCCTTTTGACATGGATATTACCTCGAACCAAAGACTTTTCTATTCGCATTTGTTTTTAATGTAATATTTATTTTGACTAATGTAACGTGCATGTGTCAAATTTACATATTTTTTTTTATCGATTAAAAATTTGGAAAATAGCTTCATGTTAATTGTGAATTAGTATAGTTCTGCATTATTAATTCAACATTGAATTTTGTACGTTTAGGA